TGTATGTTTAAAATTATATGTAGAGGGTCCTCCCTGGTAGCACAGCATGTTGAAGTACAGCACTACGAAGCCACTTCAGCAAGAGTTGGAGCCCAACCAAGGGGGTGACCCACATGTCTCCTGTCTTACCCACTCCTCCCCTCAGTAATGTACTTCCTCAATATGCTTGTTCTGCTCCCCAATCTGTCTTCACGAATCCTTTCACCGTCCCTGTACCTCTGACCTATACCCCAGTTCTGTTTGGATAAATAAATCTTTTTTTAAAAAATAGGAAAGGTTTGGTTTTTTAAAAAAATTATATTTAGAATTGAATTTCAGTCCACAGTCAATAGATGAAGGTTAATAAATGAGATACAGTGATTCCAAAGTTATAAAATGAGTTTAGCAAGTTTGTTGCGCACACGATGTACCAAAATAACTTTTTTTTTTTTTTGGAAGATTTATTTATGTATACATACAAGAACTGGGGTACAGGCCAGAGGCGTGGTGGGTGAGAGGATTCATCAGAAACAGAGTAGGGAGCAGAACAGGCAGATTGATTGAAATACACTGCTGAGGGGAGCAGGAGGCGATACAGGAGAGGTCTGTCACACCACGCCCATTACCGCCCTGGTCATAATCGACCTTGTGCTGCAGTGGCTTCGGAGAGCTTCACGGTGCTGTGTTTTAACTCGTTGCACCACCAGGGAGGGCCCTGATTTCTTTATACTAGTCACAAAGGGAGGAGTTGGTAGTGACTAACTTTATGAGAAAACTAATCAAATAAACATTTAAAAGTTAAAATATTAACTTTTACTTGAACATTTTCCTCAGTGATGAGTTGAAGAAATATCTCTTAACCCAGTATACCAATTCAAGATATAAGTTGAAATTAATTTTAGTTTTACAGAAAGAATATTTTTCAAATGTAATAAATTGTTTTTTCTTCTTTTTCTGCCTTTTTTTAAATTAGCGAATTTTAGCACCCTATACTGATTTTCACTACAGACATAGTCCAGATACAGCAGAAGGACAGCTCAAGTAAGTACCTATTTGTTCCTAATAACTTATGAGATATTGTGTTGACATTTAAACTTTTAAATTTGCCAACTGCTTAGATAGCCAGAGAAGTGTGAGTTTTAAATAAGTTTAGCATTTCATGGAATTATGTTCTGTTTCTATTATAATATGACTGACCTGTTTTAAAAGTTAAAAGAAGCATCGGGAATTTTAAAGATTTGAAATTTTCTTAAAATGTAAGGCTCTAAATGGTGGAGGGAGGGAAGTGCACTGGACTATGGTGATGGCACATGGGTGACTTGGTGATGGGAAACCCACGGGGATTACAATTGAGATGGGAAAAAATGTACAAAATGATGTAAAAATAAACTATTATTTTAAAAAATTAAATAAAAAATATAAGGCTCTAGTAGAAACCTAGGCTGTTAAATTATTTTATTGTATTTTACAGTAAGAGACTGAAGTAATTAAATAATAAGGAGTGATATGAAGAGAGCTGCCTTAACTAATTTAGTAAGCAGAAAGAAATACTATGTAGAATTTTGAGAGGAAATTTAATAGGGAAACAGTAAAAAGCATTTTCTAAAGGTGAGGCAGAATAAGTTTTCAGTCTTTTCAAAAGTTCAATAGCTATTATGTAACTATAAATTGGTTTAAGGATCAAATCACTGTGAAGGTTGGGAAATAACATGACACTAATAAATATGCAATGAGTTGTTTTTCTAGTAAGATTATTGCATTGCAGATATACTCACTAAATTTGATAGGTGGCATATATTTTAAAATCCTCATTAATACAATTAGTGTGCAATACAGAAGAGATAAGGAATATGGTTTCTAAATCAAACACCCAAAGTTACCGGTCCCCTTCTTAGGTAAAAGTCCACCTAAAAGGGGTTGGTCCAAAGCAAGACCTAAAAGCCAGCTGCAAGTCTAAAGCACCTTCTGGAGGGGATCCATAGAAAAGGGTCAGCAATGGCCAGACAAGTCTGGGAGTAAAAAAGCAAAATCAAGATAAACGCTGCCATAGTCACCTTCCCCATGGGTCTCTCACCCACATCGGTTTCAATCAGTCCAGGCTAAGAGACAGAGACAAGAGTCACTTCTTCACATGTCTTTCTGTCCATGTGTCTCCATGAGGTCTCCTTCTAGCCTCTGTTCTCCTTCCTTTCTCTTTAGCCTTCTCTCTAGATTCTCCTCTTCTCTGCTCAGCTCTATCCTCTTTTTTGGTGGGGCAATGAACCTCGAACCTCTTTTCCTGGGGACCACCCTGTTACCTCATGACTTGAGCTCAAAATCAAAATTGGTGTCTTTTGTTGAAGACTGAAACCTTATTCTTGCTAATTATGAATTGGATTTCTGAAGCCCCTTTCTTTCCTGCTCTAATAACACTTGGACATTCTCTTTACTGCTGGACAATTATAAATGCACTTTTGTTGCTGTACAACAAATTGCTACAAATGTAGCATCTTAAAATAGCATCAGTTTATTAGCTTACAGTTCAGTAAGTCAGAAGTCTGACAAGGCTCTTATCTGGAGGCTATGGTAAAAATTCCTTTTCCAAGCCTATTCAGGTTGTTGGCAGAATTCATTTCCTTGCTGTAGTACAATTGAACTTCCTGTTTCCTTTGCTGACTATTCACTGTGGCCTACTCTCTCATCTTCTAGAGCCTCCCTCCTTCCTTGACACTTGACCCCCTCCCCCATCTTCAAACACAACAAGAATTCTTCAAATACTTTGAATTTCTCTGGCTTCTTTTTTTGCCACCAGCTAAGAAAGCTCTCCCATTAGATCAGGTCTATTCCAGTGATCTCCCTATCTTAAGGATTACTTTATAAATAGCAATCACAAAAATGGCAGTGATAGCATATTCACAATATTCAGGGATAGGATATTTGATCTTAGAGGAAGATGGTGAAATGTCTTTAGAATTTTTATTACCAGAACAAGTAAGAGATGAATTCTGGATGGTTTTTTTTTTAGATTTGGAGGGGAAAAAATACATTACATCAAAATTCTTTCTTCCCTATTGGTTTTGTGCTGTCATTAACTTGCTTCAGTATGGGCATTTCTGGAGCATTGGTATTTTAATGGCCAGGGAACATGGAAAAGAGTAATTTTTTAAAAATAATAACAAATTTATATAATAAGTTGGAGAATGACAGGAATCAATATTTGTGACTTTCTTATAAAAAGGAGACCCAAAAGATTTATCACACAGTTGTTCTATTATATCTTTCATATCCCATCATTTCATTTTACTTTCAAGTGTATTCTCACTTTGATTGGTGATACAGACCTTAGTCAGGGGTGTGTGTGTTTTCTCAAGTGTTTTTCTCTTCTTTTGTAGGCTATCTGGTTGTTCATTGCTCTTTATCCATTCTGTTTCTTCTCTTCACAGTTCTAGGAATTCCTGTGTTTGCACAATTGTTAAAAATTTTATTAGGGAAGAAAAAAGGTGGCATGGACAAAAATGAGTATTTAACAGGGTAGAGGTGGTTGAGGCAGTAGAAGAGTACAGGTTGCTGTTAAGTATTGAGACTGGACATAGCTCACGTACAGAAATTGTTTGACAAATATAGATACTTCTATTGCCTTGATTACTTTTCATAACTAATGCATAGAAGGGAATAGGTATAATTAAATAAACAGAAGAAGCTAGCTAGTGATATTTATAATATCTAGTTACTTATTCCATTGTATATATGGATTGTTGAGCTTGTTTGTTTGAAATAAATGCTCGAATAAATTTGGGACAAGACTTTTGAGATAAAGAACATACACATGGTAAAAGGAGGTTTTTGTGACGATTTTCTTTGCTAATGGGCAGCCTTGCCAGAGATGCTTATTAAGCAGGCTGATGTTTGCACTAATGCTCAATTAAAGGTGTTAATGAGCTATCTAAGAATAGTTTTCGGAAAGAGAGCAGAAAATGTAGAACTGAGTGAAAAAGCAGAATGTATAGCTTATTTTAAACCCTTGTGGATTTTAAATAGAGTCATTATCAAATTGGGTAATTTCCTTTGTGGTAGATCTGATCTTAGTATAGTTATAAAAACATGTTTAAATTCCTGTGTAAATATTTAAACATTAGCTGATGATAACTTTTATTTACTATATTAGCAGGAAAAACTTGCTTTTCATTTTGACATTTTATTTTTCTGCCCTGCCCCTCCAGAGAAGACAGAGAGGCAAGGTTTCTAGCTAGTAAAATGGGAATCATAGCAACATTCCGGTCATGGGCAGGTAAGTTACTCTTTGTTGCTTTCCAACATTAAATGAGGAAGACTTGACTTTTTGTTTTGTTTTGTTCAATTATTGCCAGTGGAGCCTCACTGATAGCCAAGGGATTGAGTCTCATCACTGTCATCTGACTTGAGTTTGATTCCTGGCCAGGGAGCTACCCCACATATGGCACAGCAGAATTCTCCTGTCTTGCCTACTGCTCCTCTTTGCAGTATATTTGAGTAGAAATTCATCTGTTCTGCTTCCCACTCTTTTCTCTAGTGAATCCTCTCACCACCCCACCTGTACCTCTGGCCTACACCCCAGTTCTTCTACGCAAAAGCCAAATAACAATATTAATAAAATTATTATTGTTATTTTATTTTAAATATGATGATATATAATAGTAAGATAAGTTAATATTGCAGTTGTCATTATTGGTGGGATTTTATGAGTGTAATTTTTAGACTCTTGGTGACTGGTGTCATTAATGATTTGTATATATTGATTATTTGCATTTCTTTGTGGTATAATGTTAATGTGTTTAAAATTGCTTTACCCATTTCTGTCACTTAAGATTTTGATCCATATAATTTACTTGAAGTCTCTTGGTTGTACTCTCCTGTGTCTTCAGTAAACTTTGGCATTACAATTTTTAAAAAAGATGCATACAGAACTGGGGTACAGGCCAGAGGTACAGGGGCAGTGAGAGGATTCACCAGAGACAGAGTGGGGAGCAGAACAGGCAGGTGGACGAAGTATACTGCTGAGGGGAGCAGCGGGTGGGACAGGAGAGGTCTGAGACACCATGTGGATCATCTCCACGTCCAGGGATGGAACTCGCACTGAAGCAGCTGCAGCCAGCTTGCAGTGCTAGGCTTTAACCCATTGCATCACCTGGGAGATCCTGGAATTAAATTTTTAAGAAAATGCCAAGCAGAGTCTCAGTTTAGGTTGAAAAGCTGTTAAATAAGGGAAACATACGATTGTCTTACTTTTGCAAATATTCTTACTCCCAGAGAAATGCCTCATCTACAGATTTACTGGACAGATTCAAGAACTTTTTTGGGTATGACACATATCAAAGAAGGAATTTAAATGATTGAATTATTCTTTCTAACCAGTATGGAAATACTGAGAGTGTTTGAAATACACTATCATTTATCATAACCAGATACTATCATGGCTTGGCCAAAGATTGCAGATTTTGTAATTATGGATACATTACTGAAAAAATTTTATTTTTGAATTTAAGTTAATGATTCTTCTTTTCTACTTTAGGTATTATTAATTTATGTAAACCTGGAAATTCTGGGATCCAGTCTTTAATTGGAGTACTTTGCATACCAAATATGGAAATAAGGGTAGGTAAACTTTATTCTCATTGTTTCATGCCTGGATTGAAATGAAAGAAATTTATTCTTTAAAAAAATAAAATCAGATGATACTTTTTCCTCATGAATTTTTAACCTATAGCATAAAACATTGAAAAAATACATGAAATAGTTATGAATTAGCTGAACCTTAAGTTTTAACAATCAGTTGAAATACAGTTATTAGGACCTATATTAAGAATTAGGTTTAAATGTTAAATTATACTGTATTCATTAAAAGTACAAATAGTACAGAAGGACATTCATTTCACTGTAAAATGTCAAAAATGCAGAAGTAACTAACAAAAAAATACAGTATTTATCTTTATGACCCTTCTTTTTATAATGATTTTGATAAAAGTTGGCGTTGTTAATATTTATGTGTTTATTTAATAAATCCTAAATTATTAATGATAGGTATTTGTATTAACTGAAGTTGGAGAGACAAATTAACTCTTCAAGTAGATTTTTATTTTTTCCCACTAAAATTTCTTATCTTAATCTTATTCAAAGGAACAAAATGTTCCTTTTTCTCATTTGTCCTCTCTGTGAACCAAATCCAAATTATAGTAATGATTGACAAGTCAATAAAATCTAAGAAATAAAAGAGAAAGTGTTAATCAAGACTGCATTGCTTAAATGTGAACTAAAAAGCATTTAGACAGTGGAAATAGAGGCTGTGACTAAGGATGAAAAGCTCTATAAGGAGTTAACTAAGGTTGGGTCAGCTCACTGGACTTCTTCCTTAGAAAAAACCATGGTCTATGGAGCATGGCTAGCGAAGATTTGACTCCTGGTTTTATGATTTATATAGTTCTATGATCTTGGGCAAATTACCTTCATCCTTTAAATCTGTTTCTTTGTGTGTACAACAATGAATATTGAAGATTAATGGGAAAATTGAAAGCATATTAATAGTTCATGTTTAGTTATCCTTTCTTAACACAGCCCTGATATAGTAGTTTTCTAAAATATAACAACATTGATTTCTTTATTTTTCATTGTTTTTATGACATTGAAAAACCTGTGGATAGAGATTTATTATATAACATAGAATGAGCTGTATTCTTTTGCTTGTACAGCGAGGTCTGCTTGAAGTGCTTTATGATATATTTCGTCTTCCTATACCTGTTGTGACTGAGGAGTTCATAGAAGCATTGCTTAGTGTAGGTGAGTATTGAAGTATATTTGTATCTGTGCACTTATGTTAATTTCAAAGTTACTTAAATAATGGAGACAGAATCCCATAAAAAAATAAGTAATGAATTATTGAATATCATCATCTTACTGTGTCATCGTGGCATGAAATTAAAAATAGTTCTTGAAATGCATTTCTAAAACTAAGAAATTTCAATTTTTTTCTTTATCACTCTAAATCTTGCAAATGAGCAGGTTTATAGAAAGATGAACCAAGTAAGGAACAGATAAGACTAAAGGAAACAGATAAACCTAAAGGAGACTAATCCCCCTGAAAAATATTTTTATGAAAGTTATCAGTTAGGAATATAGTTAAACTAATCTAATTCTCAGATTATATAATTCTTTTAATATATTGTACATTGTACAAATAACTCCTAAGTTCCAACGTTTTCTAAAGAAGTAAGATCTTTGCAGATTTACAAAATTTTATTTTTTTGAGTAAATTGGAGAATAGTATTAATGATTTGACACATTTCAGTGATAACTAAATTTCCATTAACTACCTAATCTATTTTAGACCCAGGTCGATTCCAAGACAGTTGGAGGCTTTCAGATGGTTTTGTAGCAGCTGAGGCAAAAACTATTCTTCCTCATCGTGCCAGATCCAGGTAGGATTTAGATATGAAATGACTCAAATTTATCTCAATATTGGTTTTATATTAAATTATGAAATGTTTAGGACACACATCAAACTGTTTCTGTGATGGGGTTATTTCTAGGCCAGATCTCATGGACAATTACTTGGCACTGATCCTTTCTGCATTTATTCGTAATGGACTTCTAGAAGTAAGACTTATTTTATTCTACTTTTTTTCTTTTTAAAGATTTACTTATTTATGCATACAGAACTGGGGTACAGACCAGAGGTGCAGGGACAGTGAGAGGACTCACCAGAGACAGAGTAGGGAGCAAAACAGGCAGACTGATAAAGCACACTGCTGAGGGGAGCAGAAGGGGCAGGGAGCGTCAGGAGAGGTCTGCCGCACCATTTGGGTCACCTCCAGGACAGGGGATCGAATTCATGCTGAGGTAGCTTTAGCTTCTTTTTTTTTTTAAAGATTTATTTATTTGTGCATACAGAACTGAGGTACAGGCCAGAGGCTCAGGGGCGGCGAGAGGCTTCACCAGAGACAGAGTGGGGAGCAGAATAGGCAGATTGATGAAGTACACTGCTGAGGGGAGCAGCGGGCGGGTCAGGAGAGGTCTGCCGCACCATTTGGGTCACCTCCTGGGCGGGAATCGAACTCATGCGGAAGCGGCTTTAGATTCTCAATGCTGTGCTTTAACCCGCTGCGCCACCAGGGAGGGCCCAGCTTTAGCTTCTTAGTGCTGTGCTTTAACCCACTACGCCACCAAGGAGGGCCCTTTTCTTTTTTGAGATTTATTTATTTATGCATACAGAACTGGGGTATAGGCCAGAGGTGCAGGGGGGGTAAGAAGGTTCACAAGAGACAGAGTGGGGATTAGAACAGGCACATGTAATGAGATACACTGCTGAGGGGAGTAGTGGGCAAGACAGAAGAGGACTGATGCACCATGTGGTCACCTCTGGGCTGGGGATCGACCTCACACTGAAGTGGCTGTGACTCGCTTAAAGTGCTGCGTCATAACCTGGTGAGCCACCAGGGAAGGCCTCTACCCCTTTATTTTCTTCAGCAGAATACTTTCAGAGCAAAAGAACTTTGATGTGTAAATATGTTCATATATATTTTGCAAGAATAATATTATCTTTTGTTTTCAAAGGGTTTGGTTGAAGTCATAACAAATAGTGATGATCATATTTCAGTTAGAGCTACTATCCTTTTAGGAGAGCTTTTGCATATGGTAAGTTTAGCAACTTTTGATTAAACATTTCATATCCTAGTATTTTAATTTATAAAACAGGTTATATTATCTGTATTGCTTTGTGTTATCTCAAAAAATAAGTTTGGATTTTTATAATGTATATATTACAAAGAGTCTTGTTATTTATTGCCTTTTATCTTGGGATATATATGTATGATTGTCTCATCATACATATCTGCTGCTTTCATAAATGGAACAAATATAGAAAGTGTAAAAAACTGATTTTTTACACTCATTTTTTATATTATATTTTGAGTACTATAAATCTTTGTGCAAAAATATAAAATAAATTCTTATTTGAGCTGCCTTTAAGCTTCAGTTTAATATGTAAATAATAAGGCTGTCTGTGAAAAAATTAAGCAGTATTGCATTCCTCAGGTCTGATATTTTTATTTTAATTCTTAAAATACAATTTCCTATAAGATTATCAACATTCAATATTAATTACTTTTATATGATGGAATTTCTTTTATAAATTTTATAAGTCTCTTCTCCCATTTACCATTCTGTGGTCCCTTAAAATATAGAAGCAGGTCATTTTGAGTATAATGGTTTTAAGGCATAGCTTGTTATTACATCTTCTGACTCCTACATTTAGTTAATTTGCTTACCATCACTGGTAGAAAGCAGAGTTCATCAGTTTCTTAATTTGAAGAATTTGGAATTTTGAATGTGAAAAGCCTACTTTGAGGGTTTTTTTTTTCTTTCTATTTTTAGTTGAGGTTACTGGTTTACAGCACTGTTTATGATTCAAAGGTACAGAGTCACATCTTGGATGTATGTAAACACACTACACTCACCACTGAGGCGCCATCAGTCCAAACTTGTCCATTGGCCTACTTTCCCCTTTGCTTGCTACCCCTCCTCCTTTCTTCGGTAGCCTCAATTTAGTCAAATTTCAAGGGGCTTTTTTGATTTGGTTTTGTCAAACCCTTACTTTGTTTCGCCATATTTTACGTATGAGCAAAATTATTTGATATTTGCCTTTCTCCTTCTACTTATTTTGCCTAAGCACAGTTGCCTCCTGTTTTGTCCCTGTAGCAGGAGCTCGTTTTTAAAATTCAGGTTGCTAACACATAAGCTATGGTACTGCATCTGGTATTTTAAATGTTATTTTTAATAGAACATAGCACTTGATATTTGTCCTTTTTAGATTAAGACCTGTGCTTAATTCAGTACCACTTAAAATTATAACAATGTTTTAATAAAAGATCTTTGATACTTACTGATCTTGTTCATGTAATAACAGAATAGAATAACAGTCGTTAATATTATTTCTTGGATAATCTATAACAGTATTTTCATTGCTCACCTATTATAAAATATTTGGTTTTAGGCCAACACAATTCTTCCTCACTCACATAGTCATCACTTGCACTGCCTGCCAACCCTCATGAATATGGCTGCTTCCTTTGATATCCCCAAGGAAAAACGACTGTGAGTATCTGAGTTCTAGCAAAGGTTGTTCTATTCAGTACCCACTTAGAATGGCCTTTACTTAAAAAAAAAAAAGACGAAAATTAATAGTTTTCAAATAACAATATGTATATTCGTTTATAAGAGTTAGTAAAATCAACTTTTACTAAAGGCTGTTTACATAAGCTGTCTACAAGATGCCTGAAAATGCTGGTTGAGTTGTTGTTTGTTTTTTTTTTTAACTATTTTATGTTTTGAGAGTGATTCAGTATCTTTTAAAAATGTCTCAATTACTTCATATTAACAAAGCATGAAGACGAACAATGTCATTTATTAGAATCCATACTATGGGCATTGAAGTAAGCTACTGTTACTATTGAAAGAGATATAATCAATAGAATTTCAAATAAAGTATGGCAGTATAGCTATAGCTTTGCTGGAATTTCAGTACTAATATTAAATTTTAAAAGGTAAAGTATTTGAAACATAAAGGTGGAGGAATTTGATTGGGAAGTGCTAAAAGGAATCATTTTTCATTTGGTAAAGATTATGTCTAGATTGAGGTTATCTTTTTTTCTTTTTTTCTTTTTTTCTTTTTCTTTATTCCTTATTTTGTGTGTATAATGTTTGTGAATGTGGTGTGTTAGCTTTTTGAAACTCTTGAGTTTTGTTTTTTTTTTTTTT